TTTTCCCCTCAGAAACAAGAAATAGGAGATGATGAATTTAAACTTACCTTTATATTTAAATTTTGAACTTGTAAGTTTAAATTTGTGTCCACCCCTGATGTTGTGTTTTATAGAGAGCGCGACAACTTTGAAGCAGAGCTGAAGGCGTTAAAGAGGAGATACGAGACCGTAGACTTGTCTCACGCCGCAGTGACCAGAGAAAGGGACACACTCAGCAAAGAGGTGCATCACACAGATTCTTTCCTCGTAATACCCTCTAAATCTTTCTTTCATGGTTCTGTGGTAATATTTTTTTTAAATGTATTCTTCCTTTGTGTCCTCCAGGTGGCAACATTGCAACAATCAGTGACACTCCTGCAGAAGGACAAGGAGTACCTGCACAGGCAGAATGTGGAACTCAGTGTTCGCTGTGCACATGAAGAAGACCGCCTGGAGAGATTGCAGGTTCAGACAGTTCATCGGCAAAATGCTTATAGTAACACAAGAAGTCCCCGTGTGATTTGCTTTCACTTTTCTTTCTCCTTTTTTTGACCAGGTACAATTAGAAGACACTAAAAAAGCCAGGGAAGACGCCTATGAAAAATATGTAGCATCCAGGTTCGACTTTGCTGTTTTTGTTCTTTTATGCTTCTCATAAGAAGCCACTATTCTAGTGCTTTGATATGGAAGAAGTAAGCTGTGCAAGTATTATAATAGTCAATAAAAATTAGATGATGATGCGTATCTGCCAGCTGTATTCTGATCTCAGTTCTTATGACCTCACCCACATGAAGAAAGCTTCTGCGTATAATGCTCTGTTCATTTAAAAAAAAAAACTTTTTTTAAATCTTCTTTTCTCTACAGAGACCACTACAAGTCAGAATATGAGAGCAAATTAAGAGAGGAGTTGGAGAACATCAGGCTGAAAACAAGTCAGGAGATAGACAACCTGCAGAGAACCTCCAGGGAGATGTATGAGAGGGAAAACAGGTATCGGCGTCTTTTAGTATAACTGCTGAAAACTGTGAATATCAGGGGTGCTGTTTAAACCAAGTAAAGTCAAACATCATTCATTACTCATTAAGAGTCAGTGAGTGGTTTATAATTACAAATTGAAGCATTGCAGGGGAAAGAGACTGGTGAGTCAATGATGTTGTGGTTTATAAATTCACCTGAAAAGCAAAAGATCCCCGGGAGGAGGAGGAGAAACAAGAAGGACATCAAGCATAAAAGTTTGCATTGTTAAAATATGTAGAGCTACTTGTGGTGAATTAGCAAAAAGTAGATTAATTGTGCACCCACTACACTTGGTCTTTTTATTTTTCATCACTTATCTAACATAGAATAAAGCGAATTTCGCAGTAAACTTCACCCTGATCCTTTGTGAGCATGTAAGTTGTGTGATTATATACCTATTCGTGTCAACTTGATGTTTCTTTTCTTTTCTTTATATTTACATGTTCAAAAAAAGGTCAGTAAAATAACATAACATTTGTCTGTTACTGTATTTACTTGTGCCTAAACAGATATTTAAGAGAAGAAAGAGCTGTTACAATGTTACAATGTAACAGTACCTCAAAAACTAAGAAAATAGCTGCATATCTTCGAATGATTAAAATCATTGCTTTCCACAGGGATGAGTGTCTTTCAACTGTGTGTGTGTGTTTGATCAGGAACTTGCGCGAGGCCAGAGACAGCGCGGTGCTGGAGAGAGACCGAGCAGTGGCTGCTGAGAGAGACGCCCAGTCCAGATATGACCAACTGCTGGAGCAGTGAGTTTTATCATCTGTCACATGCTTAAAGCGCAACACTGACATGTTTTTTTTTTTTCTTTTTTCCTGTCACTCCATGTCATGCACAGAAGTCAGAAGTCTCCCTTTAGGTAATTTCTAGCCAAGAAGATAAGTGGAAGTTATTTTATTGATTATTAATAAAATTCTCTCAGTCTTAATTTGATTAAAAACAAAGAGAGAGAGAGTGCTAAAAAAAAGTAAGTGGGAAAATGGGACTGTCTATGCACCTTGTTAAATACATGTTAGGGGTAACTTCTTTTATTTTTTTTGTATAAACTAGATTTTTAATGCGGTTCAAAATGGGAGGTTTTAAATAACATAAACTGGTAGTTTTAGAATAAATATCAAAATTTTTATCTGTGCAAGCAGTGATATAATGAGTACAAATTCTTAGTTACAATTGAAAATACCACACATGAAAGTTGGAAAAAAGTGCTTGGTCACATGATTACATACTTTAGACTACCAAAATATGTTTTTGTTTCCAGCTGCATGAGAAAGATTCATTAATGTGACAGGTAGCGTCGTGGTTAGTTAACAGCTTCCAACGTTGGCAACTTAAGAAACTCCACCTGAGGGTAACTGAGGGCATCTGGAACGACTCTTTGTTGTCGTTGTTAACCATGAAATATTTGGAACCCATTCGCATAATTCATTGTATTTTGTGTTTGTGTTTGCGTGTGTTTGTGTGTAGAAGACTAGCCAAAGAAGCCAAACTACCGTAGTTTGATTAATAAAGCCAGCTTGATTGCTGTGCTTTTTTTAAAGATTAAGTTCTCACCGTGTTTCTTTTGTTTCTTTTAAAGCTGTGAGCTTGTACTTGCTTTGACGCTGACATGCGAGCCACTGGCCGCCTGTCATTAGCAAATGTTGTGGGCGCGGCAGGACTTTGGTGGCTGTGGTTTACCATCTCTTACTAAAGATCACATGAAGGCTTTGCTGTAGCAGAGAGATCAAAAGGTTGCTCGGAAGTCAGTTTACTTTATAAAAAGAGGTCCTAAGCAGCCAGTGTCTTGGCCTGTAAGAGCTGAAACAGCACAGGTAAAAAGCAAAATGAGGCACCGATTATTTGATGGCACTGACGATATTTGCTGAGGAAATAAGATGAGATTTTGAAATTGCTATTAAGAGAAAGTGAGTTTAGTAATCAAGTTTTGTTGCCTTTTAATGTTTAAACTATGTGGGTTTTTTCAGATTTTGTAGGTTTTAAAAAA